TAAACGATTCACGTGTTTTTATTTTTGTTTTCTTTTTATTTTATTTTATTTGCTTTTTTTTTTCTTTGTCTTTCTAGCTGGGTGTTAATGGATACGCGTTCATCGTTACCAATAACGGCTACATCCTAATTCATCCTGATCTTCGACCTGTGGTAACTATGAACTGTATTAAATTGAAAGGTTCTAATCTTAAAGATATTATATAAGTCCATCTCATAAAAATATTCTTTGATAGTTTCAAGGCATATTAAAACCAGCATACAACAGTGTCGATATGACTGAGGTTGAATTAATGGATCAAGACAAAGGACCGAGAGAATTCGATGAAGGAATAATTATGGTATAAAATTATCACAAGCTAATAGATCATCTAATAAGCTAATATCCAACCTTGAATGATGGTTAATATCAATAATCGTTTCTTCGCAGCTCCGTAACGATGTGGTCAATCAAGCTAACGGTAGCGTGACGTTACATACGAAATATCATTACGATGACATGGTGAGTATATATATATATATATATATATATATATATATATATATATATAAACGAAAACTTCGTAATGTATTAGGTCTATCGAAATGTTCTATTCAATTAGGACACAAATTGTTAATACCAATGAGTCATTTTATCCGAAAGAAATTCTAAAGCTTTTATCAGGATAAATAAGAAGTTGTTAATATTAATAAAAACTACTCTGTTAATTATATATTAATAAACGGTATAAAAATTTATTATTATTTTTTTTTCTTTTGACTAAAAAACAAAGCAGAACTTTCTGATTGACCTAATAATTTTCAATTGAAATTTCAATTAAAATAAGAATATATTCGAGCTGCATTTGTTGATTATTTGTTAAAAATAGAAACGTGTTGGTCGTGTGAAAAGAAAATACGATTATACCGGAATATCGAAAACCCCATTCACGGTGGTTGTGAGCCTTCCGCAGCACGATTACGCCGGAAGCTATCGTATACACGCCACCGAGGAGATACACAGATCTCATGTGAGGGGTGAGTATGCTGTTTATTATATACATATAACAACGTTTTTCAAAATCCACAAAATATATAAAAATTAATAATTAGATAGATAAATATCTCGTTCCAGAAAATATTTCAGGACAAAGTTTTCAACGAAAATTGAAATATCTCATTCGTTCTAATATAAAATATAGATCAAATCGTTTTTATTTTTGCTATAAGAACAATATCTATAGTAAAATGAAAACTTGAAAGATAGAAAATTTTAAAGATATGATAGATCCATAAACTTTTTTTTCATTACTTTGCGTTCATACATTAATTATTTTATTATGTATATATTCTTTATACTTCTTTCTTTTTTAAATATTAAATTAAAAAAGAAACTAACGTTGACTCGTCGTAGGAAAAAACGTGACAGATTACTTCCCGGGTAACAACTGGCGGGTGCATCCTGATTGGATGTATTGCAAGTAAGTGTATTCTTTCATTTTGTTTTATTAATAACATTATTGTACTATAAATCAATTTTTTCTATTTACTTATAAATATATTTATATAATAACAACTCTATTATCTATTAATAAATAATAACTTTAAATTTAATTTACTATAATTGGTATTAAACTTGAATAATATAAATTCAAAGATAATAATAATGATTTATTATTATCATAGATATCATTATGAGGGTGAACACAAGTTCAATAACTCGGAATTGGAACTCTTACATTTTCTGAAACGTACCCGTTTGCCAGGTTGGAAGTGGATCGATATGAAACAAAGATCCCAACCGCCAGAGTTTTCTGCCGCGAGTTCCGGTCATGGCTCGCATCGCAAATCTTACAGTTAGTATCTAAATTATTATTTATAACACATTATAAATTATTAATAATATTTTTAATTTAACGAAACTATTTGTAACACTGATCGAAAATGGAAATAACTTGTTTTGTAATAGAAAACTTTTTATATTAACAGATAATCCTTACAAGGCCGACAAAAATTCCTATTACTGTGATAGATACCTTCTTTCGAGTCTGGTATTCGATGCTAAGGTAACCGAGTGGTTTGCGAATCCCAGTACCACCCGCGAAGAAAAAGGGTGAGTTAATTTTTCATTAATTTTTGATAAAAAAAAAAAGGAGAGAAAAAAACATGAAAATAAAACAAAACAAAAAAGATTACGAATCTTCGCAATACCAACGCGAATTCGATCGGATGTAAATGAAGATATTTAGTTCCTTAACGCGGATCACAAGAAACGTCATACAAGCGCAAACACACCGTCATGAATTAACTGAAGAGAGAGGGAGAAAAAGAGAGAAAGAAAGAGAGAAAGAACGAGAGAGTGAGATAGAGTGAAAGAGAGAGAGAAAGAGTGAGAGAGAGAGAGGAAAAGAGAGAGAGAGAGAGAGAGAGAAAGAGAGAGATAATACTGTGTCGTTCTTCTCTGTTCTTAAGTTATTTGCACAGTTTTTCTCTTGTTTTATTAATTTCTTTATAATCAGGATAGTAAAAAATGCACCTATTCTTTTTTGACTAATACTTAACCACTTTGACGCAATGCAGACCTTTAGCTAGGCTGATGAATCTGCTAACCAGGTAACGTTCATCAAATCGCACCTTTCGCCTTTAGAAAATAAAATTGCCTCAATTATTACGATCTTTTTATTACTCTATTGCACTATAACTTTCTTTCACTCTAAATTATTTCTCGATTCGTTTGTATACTATAGTTGTATTTATTTATTTACTTTGTTACCACTTTCTTCGGATCGTTTTTATTTTTTAATTGTATTTATTTTATTTCATTTATTTACTTTTCTTTTTAATCTTTTTTCTGCTATATGACTCGTCACAAATTCATTGGATATTCATTTACCTTCTTTTTCTCTGGTGTCTCACATATTCTTCTTGTTGGTTCATCGAAATTTTTATATTAGCAAAACAAGTTGCTTATACGCTTCTTCGTAGGGCCAGCATCGTCTTTCAGGAATGGATTCGTGAAGAGGAAGTGAAGCTCTACTCTAATAGCAAATGGATTTTCTCGATACGAAATGTATCGCTGTAGAAATAAAATATATTAATCCGTACGAGATCATATAAATTTGCACATTTATATTATATTATTATATACATACATATATACATACATATATATATATATATAACTGGCTATATTATAAATCTTAAAACAAATAAATCAAAAATTTACAAGTTCTATTTAAATGAGATTTGTGCAAATTTATATAAATCTTTGTTTAATAACTTGGCACATTTTTAATCAAACTTACGTACAATTTACGTATATATGTATATGCATAAGCAAACAAATCAGCAAATTCCAAGATAATTACTAATCACGATACCTAGCTCGATATATTCGTATTTTGTATTATTTATAAATCATAGTAAAATAAAAGAAAAAAGAAAAGAGAAGATTTGATTAAATTTTAACACGTAACTTTTCATAGGAAGGAATTTCAACAACGTTTTGGAGTGACGCTTGCTTTCATGGCTACGCACAGTGGTTTAACAAGATGGCAAGATTTTCTATTGGATGAAGAAGATCCTATACCTGATGACCACTTTAGCAACATGTATCCTAAAGCAATAGATGAGGTCTGGTACAAACGTGCAGTAGAACAACATTATGTTCAACCAGAAAGCTTTGTCTTCTCGGTCCCAATCGATGATGAAGGAGCAGATAATACTACTTTAGTCACTGCCAGTCGTGCCATATTTATCGGTAAATTTATTTCCCAATTGATCATTTATTTTAATAAAAAATTTCTTAAATTATATATATATATATATATATATATATATATATATTTAAATTATTATTTGCAGGAAATGGAAAAACTAAAGCACCAGCAGCCGTCGTAGGATTTCAATTTCAACATACTGCTTTACAAGGATTATTTCAAAATATAACGTTTAATTGCGAAGGACTCGGTAATTGTTATAAACATTGCGGTAACGATTCATGGGCATGTTATTTGATTGATAACAATGGATATATAATCGCGGCGAAAGACGAGATCGACGCTGGAAAATTCTTTGGTGAAGTCAGAGGTCCTGTAATGGCTGGTCTGGTAAAGGAAGGTATTTTCGAGAAAATCAGGATGTACGATTATCAAGCAGTTTGTTTCAAAAGTAAACAGACGAAAAACGATGCTAGTATATTACTGACGGTTCGTTGAATTTCTTGAAAACGTTTTAAAGAAAAGAGAACGTTTTAAAAAAAATATATTTCAATTTAATTAACAGCCCTGGACAAGCTTCAAAAAAGTCATTACCTGGATTATTGGCCAAATGGCTTGGGCCTGGGTAAAAGCTGGTATTTGGAATTCGGACTATGCACACGCTTATGCTTATCCAAACGAAAATGATGGTATGCACGATGATTATCATGAAAATGATGATAAAGCTCCAGTCGATGCCAAAGATGAAAAATTGTTTGATATGAAAATTTTAATTAATAGGACACGGCCAGAGGCATGCGATAAAGAGGTTACTACAGATAATATTTTAAAATAATGAAATCAACGAGGTCATTTAAATCAAAGTAAAATTAAATTTTCAGGTATACTTATATTTGCGCAATTCATCTGTAACAAATTACAACATCGAGGTTGATACAGACGACGAATGCGCAAGACCCTACGTCGTGCAACCGGTCAATTTCAGCAACATGTTATTAATTGTAGTTAACATAGGCACTTGCTACGACACCACGCTTCCATCTTTAACCGTGGTACCTGAAGAAGTGATATATGAAAATAATTCTCTGGTTTGTCAAAAGGCTTGGACATTTTTAAAAAGGAAAAGGCCAGAATCCTGTATAAGAACTCATCCAAGAGAAAGTGAAATTAAGGATCTCTGTGGATTAGCTAGTGAACAAGGGCCAAACAATTTCCTTATCTTTTTGTTGCTAACGTGTATTTTGATCAAACAGATTGTCTTTCGGTACAATTAATTCTTGCTTTTTTTATAACCAACAATATAGCGAGATGATATCTATCATGATATCGATATACCCTTAATGAGCAAAGAAATGTGAAGCGTGATTAATCTAATGTCAAAATTTTAGAATCTAGTCAAAATGCATCGGCGTATATCTCGATGGAACGCTTATGCTAGAGGCAACCCTCAGTTTCTACCTCTTTTCACCCTGCTGATTTGCAGCACGGCTTGAAATACTGGCTGATACATGTATACCAGATAGTTATGTCGCGAATATTAATCGTTCAATCGTTCTCTCGTGCGAGATCATAGATTAAAAGCTGGGAAAGTCCAAAAAGCAAAATCTTACTGCCCGAAACGCAAAGCGATCTGTGCTCTGTGCGCTGCTGCTCTTCACTTTTTCTCTTTATTCGTCTCTTTATCTTTCTAAATCTACATAATTCCTTTAATATTGTTAATACTATTTCGAAAGTTAGTATCGTCATATATTTAAATAAAATGTCAAACATTGTTTTCTTTTTTATGTTTGACAAATTTTCCATAAAAAATCGATGTTTGTAAATTAGAATAGATAGACAATTTTTAGGTAAAATTTATGTACAAAGATCAAATATTTACATGGGACATGGATTAATGTGCATTACTGAATGATTGATTGATCATTGTTAAAACAAATAATGTTTCAGTACGTTGTATATTGATACTGTGTGCAGCTATTTTGTAAATAAATATTAAATCAATATCACCATAAAAAATGACATACAGAAAGGAAACATTTACAACACACATAACATTTAAATACCACTTAAACGAACAGAGTAATTCTTGAGAATAACGTTGTAGGTGTAAAAGTACTTCATTCTCATGTAGGTTAATCGTTTAATGAAGGAATCTTGCGTTAATATGTCGGAACTCTACTCGCTGTAAGAATCATTATGCAATTACTAAAACGATTCTTCATAGTGATCACAATAGATAAAAGTTTATAGTGATATTCTAGTCCATATACGAGCAGGGGCGCATATACGAGCGCACATTCATAAATAAACTATGATCATTTGCGCTTTGTATGTACATTAATCAATGTAAAATATATATATCGCGCGCGCGCGGGCATTTAACATTTATAGAGACTATGGATATTAATTTTGTATATTATTGTATTATATGACAGTTAAAAAACAATGTGTGCCTATGGACACGTCGTTATTAAAATCTTGTTGTATCTTTTTCAAATAAATTACGAAATTTTATTGGATGAATCCTATATAACAAAATATAAATGTTACCTAAATATTGTATAATTTATTGGATTAAACTATATACAATTTAACACTTATATACATGACATAAAATTTTGTCAAAAAAAAAGAAGAAATAAATTTTATGAAGAAATGAAATATTAGTTTGTTTTGGACTCTAATTTATTTATCATCTCGACTAAAATTTTCATTTGTATATTACTATGCAATATACCTTCTAGTTTTTCCAATTCTTCGCCTCCTGTCATAAACAATTTTAAATTATGCATTGTTCCATTTTCTAATCTGTGATCCGTGATACGATCTTGATTATAATTATATGTTCTTATCTTTTCATTCCTGAATTTTAAGCCCATTTGCTTTTTACGCATTTCACTAACAATCCCAATTTGTTTATTCAATTCTTGTTGATATAAAATAGTTTTTAGCTTCAAGAGTGCTATTTCTTTATTTTTTATTTGTGATCTTTGCGTTTCACAACATACTGTTATTCCAGTTGGGCAATGAGTTATTCTCACAGCAGAATCAGTTGTATTTACATGTTGACCACCAGCACCTGATGATCGCATTGTTTCTATCTTCAAATCCTTATGATTTAAATTAGTTTCAATATCTGTTGGTTCTGGTAAAATAGCAACTGATACTGTACTGGTATGCATACGACCAGACTTTTCAGTTTTTGGTATTCTTTGTACTCTATGAACGCCTCCTTCATATCTAAATTTTTTAAAAGCTAAATTACCTTTAAGTAAAATACTAGTATGCCTTATGCCATTTTCACTTTTATCCAGCTCCAATAATTCATGTTCTATTCCTAAATAATCTGCATATCCTAAATACATTTTATAAAGATCTTCAACAAAAAGCATAGCCTCTTGACCTCCAACACCAGCTGATATTTCAAGAATGATATTGTTATAATTTTCTTTATCGAGATCATACAGAATTATATTCAATAACTTTTCATCCAGATCATCCAACTGTTTTTTATATATTACTTCTTCTTCCTGAGCTAATCGTTTCATTTCCTCGTCTTCTTTACCTAAAGAATAAGTTTTGAACAATTATCTATATTAACTCTGTATGACAACATCAGAAATAAGTTAAAAATAAATAAATAAATATCAAATTATGACTTTATATTAAAAAGTGGGCTATTATTTACCAAGATCTTTCAAGTATTTTACATTTTCCTTAATATTAATACGATCTTCCAACGTGACTGCCACAGATTTAATATCAATCATTTTTACAAAATTATTTTCCTTCCATTGATTACTTTGATAAGTATCAGAAAGATAATCTAAATACTTTTTAACACTATTATCAGAAAGTGGTAAATTTAAACGTGATGCAAATACATTATTTGACATGAAACGAAACAATCCTTTGAGGTTATGTAATGTATTTAGGTTGATTAAAGAATTACACCTTTGCGAAGTATCATATATCATTATAGGTCGTCTATGAACATTAAATCTTCTTGACAATATTAGAAGAAACATGATCGTTTTCGTTGTTAAAAAAAATCTAATCCAAAAGACGTATATCATACAAACACAAGATTTCAAATGAGACCGCTAGTTTTACCTAGCTTAACCATTTGAAAAAAAGAATATTGAAGAGTGCGCTTAAAGAGTATCGTCTGCTAATCAGTATGGACGGGATAAAATTATTAATATGTACATACTTTAAAAAAGTTGATACAATCAATATTTCATTTCTAAGATATATATTTGGTTATGTCTATCGCCGTATAAATGAAGTACAACTTCATTCAAAATTCATCTACGAAGAAATCATTTGATTTGATTGTTTTATGTTTCTTATAATCTGAATTTAGTCGAATATATTCAGTTAAATTTTTTATTAAGAACGTTGGTCTTTCTGTATGAAAATCGTCTATACAGTTTGATATACCGATCGTTTGTTACTTCAAATTGATATCTTTAACTTAAAAAGTCATTGAAATAATTATTATAATATAGATAGAAATAATAGAAAGTTATCCTTTAAAAGAAAAGAAAGAACATTTCGCTAGATGGTGCGCATAAGGCTTACGAATGAGAAGAATAAATACACATATATGATTTCACTCTTGCATTAAATTTTTACTTACATACACGTCTGGATTCGCGCTAACGATCACGCTCGCCAATCGCAGTAAAGACCGAGGCATATTTACCTCAGAACCTTCCAAATTATTCTTCCATAAATTTTGTTCTATACCTGAAGGATATACGGATGGTAATAAAACATTTAAAGTATGTACCTTTTATATTGTACATAATTGCAAGGTTCATTCAGGTAACGGTACATAGACAAATATATATATATGTATATATATATATATACGCACACATACATTTATATATAACGGGAAAAAGGGAAAAAGAATAACGAATGTGAGGTCAGAAAAGGGAGTTGGAATAATAAAACTAGAGAGAGAATGAGAGAGAGAGAGTAAGTGGTGGGAGTAAAGGGTATGGGGCAGGGGAGAGAAGGATAGGGGCAGGGAGAACATTGAAATAAATTCGAAATTTTACTCGTTCTTCACGCATTACTAGTTCGTTGCTTGATAAGTAAAGTTTGTTAAATATATTATTAAGTTTAGAAAAAGACAAAGGAAAAAGAAAAAGAACGAAATTCGAGACAAGAGAAGCGAAAGAAAGATAGTGCGAGTAAGAAAGAGAGAGAGAGAGAGAGAGAGAGAGAGAGATAATGTGATAGAGTGAGATAGGAGAAAGAGAGCGACGATACATATGTACGGCGGGGCAAGCGTAGAACGGCGGACTGTTACGAGCGACGATAGTATTTTTCGTTGAAATAAATTCGATAAAGATTTCGAAAAAAGGGATTACTTAGGTACTAATGTTCGTAAGTATTGATAAACTTTCATTGTATTTAATTTAAAATAAATTTCTCCAAATGAATCGCGTTAAATAATACATATAATGTAAATGATTTCGATGCTTGTTCTAAATAAAAAAAATTGATTTTGATGTATGATGTGCAGGCTCAATCTCTCTTAATATAATAACGCGAGAAAACATGGAATCGTGCGAGAATCGGACTCAAGAAAAAAATCAAGAAGGTGGTAAGTTGTTTTGTTTGTTTTCTTTTTTTTTCTTTTTTTTTTTTTTATTTGTTTTTCTCTTTCTTTCCTTCTTTTAACGTTCTCTCACAGATTATTATTAATTTATCTTAGTTGCAATATATCGTATTTTATAATTATATAACGTTGTGTGATTTAGATCGTAACAAAACCGCGCTAGATGTTGTTTGGTAACCTTAAGTTTTACGGAATATTTTACTTTTCTATTGTAAAAAAAAACTATTGCTTTTAACAATCATAAATGTATGATTTTTAGATAAAGAGATATTATAATGGAATTTATAAATAAACTTGTTGTTCAAGTCCCATTGATATATTTACGAACGTGAAAATATCACCTTTCGAACTTCATTTTCTAAACTTAATCGTATATATAATCATGAATTTATTATCTCTAAAATTTACATATTTATATATACGATTACAATCGATATCTATCTATATATGCGTTTATCGAATATATACAAATATTATAACAAGAAAATAAATAATCGTATAAAAGTTGTAAATTATTATTTTTTTTTTTTTGATTTCTTTATTTATTTATTTTTTTTTTTATTTTTTTATTTTTTTATTTTTTTTCATTATAATATTTTAATAAAAATTTTATTTTATAAAAAATATTAATATATTATTTTTAATTATTGTAATTATAAATAAATATACATGTCAATGTGATTAGAAATTAAAAGATTATATATTTAAATAATATGGAAGAAAAAATAATTTTTCAATATAATATTATTTATTTTTATTATATTTTTAATTATCTCAAATTATTGTTACAGAAAATGGATTTTTTTGGCAAGATTACCTTGATGCTACTGAAAGTGTTGAGGTTCCACAAATTATGTTTCCACATGTAGAATTAACATTACAAAGTGGGATTGAAATAGGAATGGCTTTAGAGGTACCAGTAGGAAAAACAATAAATGAATCTGATATTACTTATTGGATAGCTTCGATTGTTATGGCTTGTGGACCACTACTAAGATTACGTTACTTTGGTGGAGATGAGAGGACGTTAGAATTTTGGTTTAATCTTACTAAAGAAGCTGCTCATGAACTTGGATGGTGTACAGCAAATAATAAAAAATTAGAGCCTCCTGATGTTGTACTTCAAAGATCACCAGATTGCATTGAAAAATTATCTCATTTTTTAACAACTGCACGTACTGTACCACCAGGAATGTTAACTGGGGTAAATTTTAATTTTCCTCTTCATACTTGTAATTGTTTACAATATTATTCTAATTTTATTACAATTGTTATTAACAAATATATCTCTTTTCATAGGATGGCCTTAGCATGACAGAAAAGATTAAACAAGGAATGAAAGTTGAAGTAAGCGATGTGTTACATCCTTATAAATTATGGGTAGCTACGGTAAGAATTATTACGTTGTACCAAATTATAATCTAACTTTAATTTCATGGTATTATTAAAAATGTCACATTGTATTTTAATTATTATTTTATGAATAAATTTGTTTTCAGATTATAGAAAATGTTGGAGGGCGTCTTTTATTAAGGTATGATACACCTGGTTCGTCGTTTAAGGACTTCTGGATGTTTTGTACATCAGAACATCTACATCAATATGGATTTGCATGTAAATCAGATTCAACTTGGTTTTTAGAACCACCTAGTTCTATAGTAGATATGCATACTTATGAAGAATGGAAAGATTTACTTGAATCAAAACCAAAAAATTGTGATATACCAGTAGAATTATTTAAAAATGAAGTTGACCATCCTAAACATAATTTTAAAGTTGGAATGAAATTGGAGGCATTGAATCCAATAAATCAGACAAAAATATGTCCTGCTACTATTATTAAAGTATTTGATGACATATACTTTCTAGTCCATATTGATAAATATGATGAAAATGTAAAGGGTACTGATATTGACTGTTGCTTATATAATCAATCTGAAAAAAATACATGGCTTTGTACAGCAGAACATCCATACATATTTCCAATTGGCTGGTCAAAAAAACATAATATCAAGTAAGTATTGTTTGATGTATACACGATATTTATTATTCATAATATTTTATTAAAAATGCGATATTAATAAATTTTTTATATTTATATTTTTCATAGAATTACACATCCAGAAGGCTGGATTTCCACTAGTGATGAGTTTGATTGGGATGAATACTTGAAGAAAACAGGAAGTATAAAAGCTGAAGAAAATTTATTTTATGAGAGAAAAAATGCAGCAGATGCAGGTTTTGAATGCGGTATGCGTTTAGAAGCTGTTGATCCAGAATATGAGAACATTATCTGTGCTGCTCATATTACTAAAATTGTTATGAATTTATTATGGATAAAATTAGATAATTATGAAGACAACAAACCAGAACATATAGTTCATATGCGTTCCTTAGAGATATTTCCTGTTGGATGGTGTGAATCAAATCATTATCCATTAAAACCACCAAAAGACTACATTGAAATTTGTAAAAAAGTACAAACACCTGTAAAAGAAGAAAAAAAAAATAATGTACTTGACATACCAATTTCAGAACCACGTTCCTCATTGTGGTGTCCAAAAATATATTTTAATTATCGTTGTTTTACTGGTCCAATGATATCAAAAGGAAAATTAGCTACTTTACCAAAGGCTGTAGGACCTGGTCCCGTAGTCTTAGTAATGAGAGAAGTTTTATCCATGATAGTGTCTGTTGGATATAGAAGTGCCAGAATTTTGAAGGTATTACAGTGTGATTCAAAGCCAGATCCTGGGTATCGTTTGGAAGTTTTAAAAGCAAAACACAAAAATAATACGTATCGTGCAAGTGTTGCTGTTGTTACTTCTGGAGACATGGTAGCAGACTTTTGTAGAAATATTTGTAAAAAATTGATGGTGTGTCCTAATTTATTTGGACCCTTGCATGTATTAGAAAATGAATGTCCGGACAAATGTCATAAAACATCAAAAACAAAATTCAGTAAGTATAACAAATACATCCACATGTTTTGTATTTTTCATTATTTAACTTTAACAATTTTTAATTTCAGCAGCATCAGTGGGAACTGGAAAACGAGGCAAACCAAAAGGTTATACGAGTATAATGGTACAAAAACCAAGGGCATGGGGTGGTAGACGTAGAAGAAGGCGTGGGAGATGGAGTAATAGAGACAAAAGAATTAACTATGAATACGAAGATGAAATGCCTTTTATGCCGTTGGATTTAGCAAAACATATGTCAGATGGTCTTGAAGAAACATTTGATGGTAGACAACCTCTTTCAGAAATAGATATTATGATACAAAAAGGTTTAGAAAAATCAGATAAGTCAGATGATTTTAAGACTGAACCTCCGTCAAGTAATGCTTCAGAGGATTCTGGAAGTTCGTTTAACGATAGAAAAATGAAAGATAATCGAGCAGGAAGTCCTAATAGTTTGAATACTAAACATCATTTTACAAGGTTTAGTCAAAATGTAACAACCACTAGAGGAAGTAAAAGGGAACGTGACTGGGACACAAGTATAGAGTCCGATTGCTCTGAAGCAGATGCAGAATATGTAAGAATGCAAAAAAAACAAAGACGACCGAAAACACGTAAACTTGATTCAAATCCTTTATTTTGGACCGTTGATGACGTATTTCGATATCTTAAAAAGACAAATGATTGTAAAGACATCGCTTATCGTGTTAAACAAGAAGTGAGTCATACTTGATTACGTCACATACAAAATTCAAAAAAACAAACTTTTTAATAACAAATAATAATATGATTTTTTGTTCTCGTCTTTCAGGAAATCGATGGTCTCGCCTTTTTATTATTAAACTTACCATCTCTCACGCAACATATGAAATTACGAACAAGCTTAGCCATGAAACTTTGTCGTCATGTTGAACAAGTGAAAGTCACATTTTTTTTACGACACATTAATGAAATTGATCCAGAAAAGTATCCTATAGCATAAATTTTTAATTTTTAAACGAATTTTTTTATTTATAAATTGTATAATAATGTATTAATTTAAAACCAAAAGAATGTTTGCAAAAATATTTAGTGTATTGCATATCCAATAGTGATTATATATGTATTTTAATTTATATAAAAATGTGTGGTAATGATAGCAATAAGCAAGATAAATATCTTTTGAGAAATACGATTTAAAAGTGAGATTATATATATATATATATATTTTTTTTTTCTTGTGTAACAAAAATGAAAAGATATATAGATAGAAGAATTCTAATTGAATGAAAACAATTTGTCATACATAATATATGCGTATTTTACCGTTAAATGCTTTTTCCATTTGACTCTACAATTATGTGCAAAGGTTATATAATTTTTTTACACGCACACACACACACATATGTATGTATGTATATATATTATTGTATCTGTCTATGTGTATATATATAATATATATATATACACAATAAAAAATATAGAAATTATTATTTAATCGTAATAATAACGATTAAAAAAAATATGTACATTGTCATATCTATAATTGGATGCAATTACAATATCAGAAAAATTTTAATTATATATTAATGGTAATTAAATTGATTTATTGTAATTAATCAAGATATCTACAATGTTAGTTTTATATGAATTATTCTAAATTTGAAACTATATTGTCAGTGATAAACACAACAAACCTGATCTTTTAGAAAATTTTGCCAAACTGCCTTTATTCTAGATAGCATTTTAAAGAAATTATTATTTTTAAATAGACTTGGAGAAGAATATAAATGTATTTTATCTAAGTTGTACATAATTCTCTTCATTTAAATCATGTAAAATATATACCAATAATTATATTCGATTGAACAAACCTTTGTTCCTTAATATCCTTCCACGAATTTTGTTTTCTTCAAATATTTATTTTAATATCTTATATAAGCCTAACCTTAAACATTAGTTTAATCCGTTGCAACGAATTTAATATCAATACGATTGTTATCTATCATCTAAACTTTTCACGACTGAAAAGACAAACGTGATAATTTGTAAGCGACTCTCGTCGCAAGTTGCATTATGCGTTCACCATCCGTTACAACCAAATATGATCACGTTTATAAACGTGACCATAAAGCAACGAATAATGGAAAATTTTCAAAAATTGCATCGAAACGTAATCTTTTTAAATTGATCCAAATATGTACCCATATTATAACGTTTAAAATATCTCACTTTTGTGCGCGCAATTTTCAAAATTCCGCGTATTATATTTTGGCTAACTTCAGAGTGCTCCACCTTTAGAAATAGGAGAGCAAAGGGAATATTTTGCGCATGCGCAAGCTGTAAACGCATCAGCGTGAAATAGTATTTCATAGTTCAGTAGTTGTGTATATGCGGTAGAAAAAGAGAAGTGGGGAGAGTCTCTTAGTGTGCGTGTAACGTGCACACGTACAGTGGTACGGTACCGTACGGTACGTTCAGTGTGCGAGTCGTTTGTTTTCGATAATGCCGTAGTAATGACAGGGATTTTTGTGCACTAAAAATCAACGTAACGTTAAGATAGGTGAGTTTAATTTATCTAGAAAAATTACTTAGATCACTTTTGTTTATATTTTTGATTTAACAACGCGTGGGTGTTGGCCGTTTAACATAAGAAAGAATACGAACGAACGGTAGGCAGCATCGACGATCGATGGTGAGCTTACAGCATCGCGGGTGTGCCCGTTTGTCTACACAGGCTCGTGTTTTTCTTTCCTTTTTTATTCTTCTGATTCCCAACGGGAGTTCTTTCGTGACAATGAGAAATCCGATCGATCATTCTTTTTTATATAAGGAAAAAAAAATACAGGGCAAAAAGGTGGAAATACAAAATGCGTCGAACTTGAGTTTTCGATCGTCGATACTTTCTCGATGATTTTTCTATGATCTTATAATTTCGAAGGACGTCGAGTTCGGTGAGATCATCCCAGAAATTCTTTCCATTCGATGAATGCATTTCTTTTTATAGAATAAAATATTGCGCTAGAAAATCCTCATTTTAAACTTTCGCAATATGTATGTGTATCTACAGAGTATGGATCGATTCTCCGTGCTCTATTTTTCCCTTCATACGATACCTACAAAATAGCTTGGCTAAATAATTGTGACACATGTAGAGAGACGTTCCTAATTACCTTTTATAGTTTCCTCACGCTCGTGGAGTACGCCCAGTCTTCGCGTCATAATCGTGATCGGGATTTATTTCTTAAGTGTATTTTTTGAAGTTTCTACATCTCCGTGGATACGATCTACTTCAGAATAGTGACTTTAATCGACAGAACAACCCCTACGCTTATTCAAATGTACACGATTTCATACAAAGATTCGCTCATCGTTTCCGGATTTCTAGAAATCTTCAATGAATCTATTTTGCATTAATTCTTTAAAAGAAAATTGGGACAATTATTTCCAACAATTTTTTAATTAAATCCTTAAAGGATTAAAAATGATTAATGTTTCTATAAAACAATTATTCTTATCTGTGAATTTTATTTTTAAGAACATTTCTTAATAGCAAATATTTTTACTTTGTTTAGATACGAAATATAAGACGAAATATAATCTATCATGATGAGATTTGCTATATTTATTATCTCAACACTCGTATTACAATCATCAGCAATAAGTGAGTATAATATTGCGAATGGTTACTTTCCTTGTGTTTGATAAAAATTCAATTCAGTTTTTTAATATATATATATTTGATTTTTAATTTATAGTTCGTATCCCGGATATCTTAGAAGGTGAAAAATCGTAAAAATTTGCTATGTGTAAATTCTTATTGTGCTATAAAATCTAATATTTCACATTAAAAATTGAAACATATTAAGAATTTTAATTATAATTGTGTCTTTAAATGTAACATTGCACACATATTCATACATAATATTTTTTATCAATTTAAGTGTATATCCTATAAAGGATGATAATGTTTAATAATCATATTTCTTTGCTTCATTATCATTTTTTGTGCTAATTGCATTTAGAAAGATTTTGCTATGTAATTATGAAGCATAAAAAAAACTTCTTTTATAGAATCACAACTATAAAAATCATTTATCATCTGTCTGTTCTCATATACATGATACAAATGTTATTCCTGTAGATCTGATCTGTATTATTAAATATTGTATATAGCAAAGTACATTATGAATATAAATCTTATTTGTATATTTTATTTATTTATATATTTATTTGATTATACAATATATATTATATTTAAAAATTCATTGTGTTGTATCAGTTCATCTTTAATTTTACATTTAGTTCAATATTAAAATTTCATATATATAACACAGATTTTATATAATGTAGTAAAATTATACAAATAAGAATCCTTATGACAACACATACCTATTACATTCCATCATGTTATATCACATAATATTTTTATATCCAATGTACATTGTTATATTTTCATTAGGATATTGTGTTTATAATGTATAACATGTTGATATTATTATTTTTAATAATGCAAATTTTATATGATTCATCAGTTCAGTCTCCACCACGGATATCCAAGCAGCCTCCTACGGATGAACAACTTTTTCAAGTAGCTCAAGCTAAGGTCAATAATAATGATAAACCCTTCCTGATTGAATGCGAAGCGGAAGGAGAACCTGCACCAAAGTGAGTTTAATTTTTTGTTCTAATATAAGCTTAAATAAAAAATTATATTTATAAATAAATTCATTCATAAAATTTTATCTTATTTTAACTAAAGCTACAGTTTCTACTGTACTAAGAAGCCAGAGTAACTGGTCTTAATTACTAGTATGACCTCATATCCTAAAGGGGTATAAAGTTACCAGTACTGATAGATACTTTACTTCTAGTAAAAGCTGAGTCATATTTAGTTTAATCAATTTACTTAGATTTTAGGAGTAAAATAATTTTAATATGATGAATAAATTTTATTTATTTTATCTATGTATATTTAAAAAGAAATGAATCTAGTTAAATATTACATATAATAAAATTGATAATAATGGTGGATATACAGGAAAATAAATTTTCTCATTTAATAGTATAATATATATATTTTAATTATTACAATGTAAATTTCTAAATAATTGTTTAATTTGTATATGTAATAAAAATAAAAAATTGATGTTTATAACAAATTAAGTATATTAATGTTAATAATAATAATGATAATAATTTAGATATCGGTGGGTTAAAAATGGAAAAAATTTTGAATGGCCAGCATATGATGACCGTATTTCTCAACAACCAGGAAGAGGCACTTTAGTCATAGCAAGACCTCGTGATGAAGATTTAGGACAGTACCAATGTTTTGCAGAAAACGAATGGGGAATAGCTACATCAAACTCCGTTTTCGTTCGTAAAGCAGAACTTAATGCATTTAAAGATCAAACTCCAATAAGTTTAAATGCTTATGAAGGAGAACCATTTAAATTAACCTGCCAACCACCAGATGGGTGGCCAAAACCAAATGTATACTGGCTAATTCAAGATACAGCTGGTGCAATTAAATCAATTAATAATTCACGCATGACGTTAGATCCTGAAGGAAATCTTTGGTTTAGCAATGTTACAAGGAATGACGCCTCTGATGATTTCTATTATGTGTGCGCAGCAACATCTGTATTTCGAAATGAATATAAATTAGGCAGTAAAGTTTTGTTAAATGTTATTTCGAGTGGAGCATCTTCTAATCAGAATAAACATGAACCTGTTAAGCAGTATGTTAGTAGAAAAAATGAAGTTGCTCTACGTGGTAAAAAAATTGAATTATATTGTATATATGGTGGTACTCCTTTACCACAGACTGTTTGGAGTAAAAATGGAAAATTAATACAATCAAATGATAGAATTATACAAGGAAATTATGGGAAATCATTAATTATAAAGCATGTAAATTTTGAAGATGAAGGAACATACAGTTGTGAAGCATCTAATGGTGTTGGAGACGCAAATTCATATTCTATAAGTTTACAAGTAATGGCGGTTCCATATTTCACAGTAGAACCAGAGATTATAAATGCAGCAGAGGATGAAACTATTGAATTTAGATGCGAGGCAAGTGGTGTGCCTGAACCAGAAATCAAATGGATTCACAATGGAAAACCAATATCAGAGGCACCAGTTAATGATAGAAGAAAAGTTACAGCAAATTCTATCATTATAGAAAAGTTAAAAAAGAAAGACACAGGAAATTATGGGTGCAATGCCACTAATTCTTTAGGATACGTTTACAAAGACGTATATGTTAATGTCTTGGCCTTAGAACCTGAAATTACTCAACCTCCAAATGACAAAGCAACAGTAGAAGGTAAAACAGTTCGGATTACTTGTCGTGTATTTGGTGCACCAAAACCAATAGTTAAGTGGGCCAGGAATGGTCAAGAATTAACAGGAGGAAGATACAGAATTTTGGATTCAGGTGATTTAGAAATAGAAAATATAATATTCTTAGATGCAGGTAATTATGTCTGTCATGCATCTAACAAGTTTGGAGAAGTAGAAGCCTTTGCAAATCTTGTAGTAAAAGAGCGTACAAGAATTACAGACGAACCGGAAGATTATGAAGTTGCAGCAGGTTCTACTGCCACATTTAGGTATATATTTATTTATATTAAATTAATAATAATATTATATATATATTACATTAACTTGTATGTTATATTATATTATTTTTATTTTTCAGATGCAATGCTGTAACTGATTCGAGCTTAACTTTAACGATAGAGTGGTTAAGTAATGGCGAACCTATTGATTTTGAAATGGAACCACGATTTGTACGAAGTACAGATTATTCGTTAATGATTACAAAGACAACAGAATTAGACTCTGGTACTTACACTTGCGTTGCTCGTACTGAATTGGATGAAACAAGAGCACAAGCAACATTAACAGTTCAAGATGTACCTAATGCTCCAAAATTAATTGGTGTAAATTGTATGTCTGATAATGCGGTTGTACAATGGACTCCTATGGGTGATAATAGAGCACCAATTCTACGATATACTATTCAGTACAATACAAGTTTTACACCAGATACTTGGGAAACATCAGCAGATTTTGTACCTGCTACAGAACAAACATATGATGTACCAATGTCACCTTGGGCTAATTACACATTTCGTGTACTTGCATGGAACAAAATAGGTATGATTTACAAATATATACATATTATATATATATAAGAATACTATTTTTAATTCATACAACTTTTAATCCATAATATTTCAACAGGAAAATCTTTACCTTCATCACATAGTGACGTTTGTACAACTCAGTCAGATGTTCCTTACCGCAATCCAGATAATGTTATGGGTAATGGAACTACACCTCAAAATCTTGTAATTTCTTGGACTATATTACCACAAATAGAACACAATGCTCCAAGATTTATGTACAGAGTATATTATAAAAGAGATAGACCAGAAGAACAATGGACTATAGAGGACATAAACAATTGGAAACAACACACTCTTACAATAGATAACCAACCAACTTATCAAAAATATAAAATTAAAGTAATTGCAATTAATGAGAAAGGAGAAAGTAAAGCTGAAGTCAAGGAAGTGTATGGATATTCTGGAGAGGATGGTATGTAAAATGAATATATAAATGAGTATCGTCTATACTCATAAGATGAAACTTTTATGTTAAAATATAACTTATATTCAGTTATATTATATGTAATATATTTTAGTACCACTACAAGCTCCTGGAAACTTTACCTTGATTCAAGTCAAATCTAGTACATCTGCACTACTCTCATGGAATGCCGTCCCCGAAGAATCAGTGAGAGGTGAATTAAAAGGTTATAAAATTCAAACTTGGACAGAAAAAGAAGGTGAAAAAGGAATGCGTGAAATTGACATTAGAGGTGGCAATATGACACGCGCTTTAGTTAATAAATTCATTCCGTATAGTAAAAATTTTGTCAGGATTCTTGCTTATAATGGAAGGTAACTTAAATATTCAAGCATATCATCTCTTAACTTTGGAATTGGGTAAATACATCTGTTAACACTTTTTTTATATATAGATATGCAGGACCTCCATCTGAGACATTAAGTTTTGATACACCTGAAGGTGTTCCAGGAACAGTACTTAGTTTTGAAGCTTTTCCTATGGGCTCTAGTGCACTCTTTCTTGTCTGGTCAAAGCCTGCTGAACCAAATGGTGTTTTAACTGGATATAAAATTTATTATAGGGTAGTAAATGGAACTAGATTAGAAACATTATTAGAAAGGAAACCACATATATCAGATCCAGAAGCTACTAGTGCTAAATTAGCAGCTTTGGCGCCTGATACAAAATATAGAGTCCATATTCGAGCTACAACCAAAGTTGGTGAAGGAAATGAGTAAGTTTTGTTAATATAGAATTTATTTATCAAGAAGATTGTTTATCATTAAGATAAAAAATGTCTTTTTTTATAGTTATTTCATCGAAAAAAGAACACGTACTTCTCAAAGACCAGACGTACCTCAATTTACATGGGACACTATTCCCAAAGAAAATGGATATTCGAATGTAAGGATTACGTGGCAACCAAATTTAAATGGCAATCCTGGTAGTCATTTCTTTGTAAAATATAATTTGAAAGGTGAAACAATTGCTTCTGAAACGGATCCCGAATTTCAATCGAATACGATTGAAGTAAGTAATAAATAATATAATTTCTTCTGAAAATTATAAATTTTAATAGCAAAATTTCATCAAATCTTTTTATATAGGTACGTGGACTTCCAAGTGGTGAAGTCTATGTTATGTCTGTAGTTGCTGTTGATGGAGATTATGTTACTGAAAGTGTACCACAAGAAGTAGAAACCAGCAGTGAAGGGCCAATAATTCAACCTAAAGAAAACGTTGCAACAGCTGGGTGGTTCATAGGTAATACTTTGAAGAAAAAAATTTGATGTATTCATATATTATGATATTCATTAATAATAATAATTACTTAATAATTAAGTATTAACTATATTTAATAATTTATGTAGGTATGATGTTGGCAATAGCTTTCCTTCTATTTGTTCTGATTATTGTCTGCATAATTAAACGAAATAGAGGTGGAAAATATGCAGTGCATGAACGTGAATTAGCTGCTGGACGAGGAGATTATCCTGACGAAGGTGGTTTCCATGAATATTCTCAACCTTTAGATACTAAATCTGCCGGTGGCCGCGCGTCGTTGGCCTCGTCATCTCATCAAGATGGAAAACATCCAGAATCTGACACTGATTCTATGGCAGAATATGGAGAAGGTTAGTTTTGACGCAATAAATTGTTTAATCAAATATTTTTTATATACAAAACATACTCTCACTGTAGAAAATGAAGAACAAAGCATGCTATATATGATATTGTTCGTTTATCGTTTTTATTTTTGCTATATAAAAAATGTTCTCAGCTTCATTGTATTTGCCAGCTTATGCACAATTTATAAAAGAAAAAAATTATATATCATTTGATAATAGATAATATATGTATATAATATTGCATTAATTTCCGTATAGCTTTCGTGCTATTTTTATGTATTACACTTTTCTTATCTTTTTATTATACATTTTATTTGCTTTGTTGCTTGACTTAATACAGAGGGTATGAACGAGGATGGATCTTTCATTGGTCAATATGGTCGGCATCGTAAACAAGAACCTAATTCACAAGCATTTGCAACGTTGGTATAAGGTAGGTAATGTTACATCGTTGGCATTATATGCTTTTTTATTAATTGTTTGGTTTTCACTTTAAGACACATATTCATTGATACTTTAAATAGAATTAAAACATAAAAGGAATGTATTTTATAATGTTTTCTATATATATGGTTTATAGGACCTTTCACAGAAGATGGATCATTTATTGGGCAATATGGTCCAAAAGGCAGACCAGAGGAAACACCGTCCATTCCAACCGGGACTATGGCCACGTACGTGTAACCTCTCTAAGAATCTCATTCAAACAAGATAAAAGATCTTTTCTCATCATGGTAAGGAATACGAATCCTTACCTGCTGCAGCAATTTCGCTATGCACTTTGCGCTGGGCGCAATGTCCAACACTATACTGCCAATTAGAATTTGTTTTTGGGTTTTATAGTTTACTTAGAGAAATTCATGAATTTGTGCATTTAATATTTGTAAGAAAAGTTATGTATACATGTGGCTCTTTAAGTTCTTTTTTTACTTTCTTTTTTCATATTAATCTATATACTAAGAGATTATAATAATATAAATTTGTTTACAGTTTAAAAATTGAAAAAAATGTTATGACATAATTAGAGGTCATTTGAAAGAAAATTAAAAAAATATATTAAATATAACTACCACATGTGTATATATTTGAATATATGACGTATTAAATGACAATGCAAGATGTAAATTTATTTTATTCATCTCTGGTCAGTTGTAAAACCCAAAGACAATAGGTGTTTCATAGCGTGCAAGCTATTTATGAAAATAGAACTGTAGAAACTAATCTCCAATATCTATGGTAATATTTGACAAGGCTAGATTGAAGGCAGACACTTTAGCTTATTACAGGGTATCTAAAATGTGTTTGCATTATTCGGATTGTGGTGTATATGTATCTATGAGTGGAAAATACTTTCAGGATAGCATATACCGTCAAACATTTTGCCTCACGTTTTATGTGTTCAAAAATAAAAATTTTACAATCTATTGAAATAATATACACAAAACATCTTCAATGTGATAAATTATAATCTAGCCTATAGTATTTGAAAAATACTGATATAACAACCTACCTAATGTGAAAATTATCTTTCTCAATATTATTATTATTATACAAAATTAGATGAAAATATTAAAGGACAGCTTAAGAAGCGATGTCACAATCTGGCCTCGACTGAATGTTACTTCTTAAGGAAGTTCTCCCTAAAGATCTTTAGATACACAATCAATTTTTACTCTGCAGACAGAGGGCCAAATTTATTGAATTATTAATTATCTATGATTATTGTGCACTTGCACATTGATTACAGATACGAGAGCAAAACAAAAATATATATATAAAAAAAAAAAACTGTATCACACATATTTAATATAATATTAACAAAACATTGTACACACACATGCACTATAGTAGTTAGATATCACAAGGCCTCTAATCGTTGCTTTTTGTATGTGAAACATGCTCTAGTTAACACTTAGCCAACCAAATGGGGAGATCTCTCTACTTTGAAATAAGTCACTATATGACCGGCCGGGGGGATCTCTTATTTTTTTCTTAGCAACGCTTTTATCTTGTTTATTTTTTTTCATTAGTCAATCTTGAACTGAAATTGTTCTAAATTCATCAAATACCTTTTCTGCTTTTGTAAAACACAATTTTTAATAAAATCTGTTAAATAAGTTCAGTTAAAGTTAATGAAAGAAGTTGTAGTTCCCAATTAAAACTAAATAATATTTTATAAGGTATAAAAAAAATACCGATACTTATTATGTTTATGAAACTTATTTCTTTTTTGCAAGATTTATTATAATCCAAGGAACATAATATAAGATTATTATTTAATTAATATATATAGTATTGAGAATATATAAAGAGACATTATATTAATAGACAAGAAGACATAAGAGATCTGACAAGAGTAAAAAGAAAGAACACAAGGGACAACTATTAAGTAACACTATTATGTTTGATTATAGTATACTGAGTATTTAAAGAGAATAAGACAGACTTGTTATTTTTTTTCAGAGTACATGTACAATTAATTTAGGTTATTAAATTAGTAAATTTCATACAATGTGTACAGGTTGTCTGCAAAAGTGTCACAAGCAAATATGTTAGGTACAAAGGCAATGAAAAAAAAGGTACAAAATGTAAAATACTTATAGAAATGCGAGATAATTCATAAATATATTATACTCCAAAATGATATATATTTCAGCTTATCAGAAGGAAAGAAATATGGTACAATTTTGTCTGCAACATAATATCAAAGATTTATCCGTATATTAACCGAAAAGAAAAAAAAAAAAAAGAAAGAAAAGAAATATATCCTCTTTGGTGCTGCATGTATAAATGTTTTGTCAAAAAATATTTGTTAGGACCTTTCTTGCCGATTATCCTGTACAAATGACTTTGACGTCGAAAAAATTAATAATTATATATGTGGGTGCATAAAAGGAAAGAAAGCTATCGTGTGTGTGCGTGTATATATATATATATATATATATATACACACATACATATAAAATGACACTAATATATATATATAATAAAAATGCCAAGTAATTCGAAAGATAAAGTTCAATACGTATATCATAAAGTACTGATTTCTGATATATTACTTCCATTGTTAGTCAGAACGTCGTATTATATACATACGTCGACGTCGACGTCGAAGTCATACGATAAATAGTTATACGTACGTTTTTTCACATAATTTAATATATAATTTTATATTGGATTCCCCGTAAATATTTTTCGAAGGAATCTCTAAATAGAATTTAAAATGAAACTTTGAATCTCCACGAATGTATATTAAATATTTCATTATATTTGCGTAAACTTCCAATATATACATCCGTATATAAACGACTTATTGCATTTTTATACTTTTTATCATTTTTACAATCGCAAATATCTTTTTTCTGATCTATTTTTTTTTTCTAGTTTTTTCCTTATATAACAGATATTTCGAAGCCTATATCGTACCGTTACTTGCGTTGAAGAAACTATCTATGCGCATAGAAATTTATGTACAAGAAATAGTTGTATGTATTTTACATTGACGCAAAATAATAGTGAGTTAACGATTTACATATACATACGTTTCTTTTTGTATTTCTATTTCTTCTTCTTCTTTTTTCTTTTTCTTTTTTTTTCTTTCTTTCTTTCTTTTTTTTTTTTTTTTTTTTTTTTTTTTTTTGTAATATTTACTTTGTTCACGTGCATATAATATTTGTTATGAAGTTGAAAACGTTATATAGAAACTAACATATTCTTTTGCTTTATATTTTATGCAATTGGATATATACATATATATTGGATATATATATGTATATATATAATATATAAAATGTACGACTTATTATTGAATAGTATTTCATCGTGAAACGATTGGATAGCGCATGTTATTTGTACAAAGCAAAACACCGACTGAAAAAAAAGAGTATAGGGGAGTTAAACAATAAGAAATATTCAATGCATTTGTCTTAACATGCGTTTATCCATCACTCATATTGTTCATTGTATATTAAATTATTATAATTAGGATAATAATAATAATAATAATAATAATATGTTTTCCGAATAAAAAGAATAAATGCACGCGAGGAGTACTATCGAAAACCATCACTGTACTCTTTCTTCAAATTATTTTCTACGAAGTAGAAAAGCGCAAGAGACATTATTCAATCCGTTTATACTATCTCTTTTGTCATATTTTAGAAGAACAGCGATTATTATCGAAGATATAATATTATGTTAAAAGAAAAACCACGTTATGTAATTCGTAGAGATAATACATTTTAATATTTAAGTTACCCGTTTTCCTACGATTTCAAAATGCGCATTCCAAACGTACGTCCGTACAATATCTCCCATGTCAATGAAAAGAAAAAAAATAAATAAAATCTACAAACGAAATTACTATCGTCTTTTCTTTATCTTACCGTTTTTTCTTATAGCCCGCAAGATATACAACAATAAGTATTAATAGTATGGCGGTATGGAAATTTGAAATAATATTGAAACTATACGGAAAAAAGAAATACTGTATTTTTTACATTATTAATTAAATTTATACATTTAAATATATCAATTTATCCACAACGAATTAACAAAAAAAAAGAAGCTTGTTTAAAGACTCGTTCATATCGATTTTGAATAAAAGAAACAGTGTATAGCTGTAGAAAAAAAAATTCTGAATCTCCTCCGACCGTATACACGACCCCCTGCAGCCTTTCACGGCTGTACCTCGTTATATCCTACGCGCCCTTTTGAGTAGAAGAAAAAGAGGAAAAAAAAAGAATTAAGAGAAGAAAAGAAGAAGAAGACATAGGTGGGGAGTTCAATAGTGAGAGGGATACAGAAGCTTGAGACAGTCGTGCGGACAGAAGTCGAGCGAGATGTGACCGATAATGTAATTATGCGGGACAGGTTTTTTGTGGTGGTACTCTAACTTGATCTCTGGAGAACAGCCATTCTCCCCCTCCCTTCACTTCTCCCTCTTTCTCTCTTCTCATCTTTTTCTCTTCTTTCTCTCGACCACTTTGGAGTGTTTTCTGCGCATAGAAATCGACGAAGATAAAAGGGGAGCGTTTATCGAAAGAGAAACAGGATTAAAAGGAGAGTATATATCCTTGGCTTTACGAGAATGAAAAAAACTCCGCCACGATCCATTGCTGTTCGTCATCATCTCGCTAGCTATTGGTTAACTCGTCATAGAAATATTTTCCTAACATTTATATGAAATATATACATTTATATATGCCTATTAAAATACATAATTATATTATATGTATATTAATAATATATTATATATCAGTCAAGAATTACCAGTTACTAGTTGCCAGTTGCTAGTCATCATCAGTCGTCAATTGGACAACTAATTATAAGGGGAAACTCTGGATAACTGAGAATGACTGAAGGCAATTCAAGGCAAGGCAATCCTCTGATTAATTATAGGTATCTTATAGAGAATACTTTTTGTATTCTGTAAAAACATGACCTCTTAAAAAAAAATTGAGACATTTCCAGATCTGAGTTTCTTATCTAATATTGGCGCTTATGTATGTCCTCCTCTATCATCCCTGAAAGTTTGAAACATCATTCCGGAAATATCCTGCATATATACATTTAAGTTTATATGTAGGTAATAATATATAATAAAATATATATAATATTAATATGCGTATATATATATATATATATATATATATATATATATATATATATATATATATACAAATCATATGGATCTATGTAAATCTATAAAAAATCTAATCGTGTTTTACATATGTAAATGCCTAGAAACGATTGTGTCTTCTAAACAACCAATCATCTTCGACACACTCCAATACAGTATACATACACACAAACAAAACAAGTATTACTCGAATAATCCAGGCATTACGTAACTATCGACAAGTCACAGTACGTGGACTTGTGGCAAACCCAATTTGGTTTGCCACGACCGAGCAAAAACATTCTCGATTATAGATAAAACGACAATCGGCCTGCTTTTACACGACCTATGAAAGAGAATCTCTCTTTCCTTCTTCCTTTCTCCTCCACCTCATCCTCTTTTCTTCCCAACTCTAACATATAATTCGCAAACAATATGAATATCGATGTTATCTTGTTTTTACGATGTTTATGGATTGTAAATAAATAAGAAATTTCGATTCTTGAAATTATATTACCACTGCTACCAATATACGCTCATTTAACCAGTGTTTCGAAAACTACAAAAAGGCGCGCAATGATTCTTTTAAAATCGTTTCTTCGCTCACAATTTCACTGCACGCTCGGTTTCTGTGCGAGTTGTGAAAAGAAAACGTTAAAACCGAAAGAGGAGACGGTAAAAACGCCAAGAAATTCACGAGGGTCTACAATGGACCATTTGTTAAAACGACGAACCATTCCTCGAGAGTCAAATATACAATGGACACTATTATCGGCTATTCATTGAATGCTTTCTTGGATCGTTTGCTCGGGTAAAGATTCGATATAATCTTAACTTTTTTTTCGCAGACACTCTGAGGATCGACTTTTAACAAGGATGATGTCTCCTTTATCTTCGAAACCTTGTGACCTGTTTCTTCAAAATTAAAATAGATCGCAGTATACAATAAATGTTTCGCCATTTTTCTTCAATTCTATTATTCGTCTTGTTCCGTTAAACAAATTTTCTTAACTATTTAATGTATTTTTTCTTTTCTTTTTTCTCTTGCAAAACATTCAAGCTCACGCTATAGATGATCTATGATATATTTTGGATGTTGAGATATTTATTTTATTTCCAATATCTCTCTTACATAAATATGTGTTATATCCAAAGACACACAGGTTTTATCTCGAAGCATCTGTAGAATCCATCGGAGACGAGGACTTGGCAACAAAGCAATTCGTGACTTCTTCTCTTCTCTTTGCACACGATTCTCAACCTCTTCTTCACACACGCACCCATACCGGTATATAGGAATCAAGAACATTGTAGTCGCGATCGAAGGCATCCATCTGTAAGATTACCTTCGAATTAGCCTTAAAGGATCTATCATCTCAAAGAAGATGGAGTACATTGTTTTTTTTTCTTTAGATAAAGGGAGGGAAAGAGGGTTTATAAGATGGATTGTGAGATTGCTCTATATAACGATTATTTCGCTAGATCATCGGGAAGACCTGTCATGGTTGAGGATGCATTATGATATATATTGATGTTTGACAATATTAAATTACAACGATGATCATTCCTGAATCTTATAATTTTGAAAATTATACAAAAGAAATAAATAAATAAGTAAATAATATTTATTCTTCATTTGTATTAATCGAAAGACTCGGAACCTCTTTCTCTTCCTCCTTTTCTTCCTTTTCTTCTTCTTTTCTGCTTCTTTTTTCTTCTCTTCTTTTTCTTCTTCTTTTCTGCTTCTTTTTTTCTTATCTTCTTCTTCTTCTTCTTCTTCTTCTCGTCTTTTTCATCGAGGCGCGAAAAATGTTCGCGGTTTTGCACCGCGACCACGAACACCAACGGAGTGTAAAATCGGTGTATGTCTCTTACGTGGAGCATCTCGTCTAACAAGCCGGCCTTTATAACGGCTCGTGAAACGACCGTGGAAACGTTCGGTTAATCGTACCGGACAAGGAAAAAGACGAGAAGAAGAAGAGGAAGAAGAAGAGATCTCTCTCTGAAGAGTCAGGACAAAGTGCAACGTTGAAAATAATTTCTCTTGCAAAATTGTTACGTCCTCACGTACGAGTAATAATACATTTATTACCTTAATAGAGGATGGAAAGAAATATCACTGATTAAAATTATAGTTTAATT